CGGGATAGGTTGGCGGGATGGTGAACTTGACAGTCGCTTCTGAGGTTTTTTCTCTGTTGTCTTCGTCTTCCACTTTGACATCGATTTCCAGAACCAGATTCGGGACTTCCTCCAGTACTGGATTATAATTCATGATAGATTGGACATTGCTATGAAATCATTCGCGCATCTGGACACACCAAAATGGAACAGCATGATGCGTCATGCGTCAACGAGCAGGAGCTCATAGCGAAGACGGGATTCCTCACCTCGTAGTTCCGCCGGGTAGATAGATTCGAGAGCTTCCAACTCCTGAGCTTGTTCTTCTTTATAATCCATGGCGGTTCGTATCGACTTCTTGAATGGAAGTCCCCCCCCCTATCGAAAGATGTGCAGGAATCACTTGGCCAAATCTTCAGCTACTTCGAACTGATCCAGTTTGAGCCTCATGCCGTGTGGTAAATCGAATATCTCCTCCACCGCTGCGAAAATCAAAACATCGGTGATGGGTAAACGAAGACAGGCCGCTGTCTCCATGTACCGACTCGTATCCGCCAGTAGCGCGCAGTCCAATAGTTTCTCCGAAGTCCCGGTCCTGGGTGCTTACTCTAATGAATTCCGGACAGGATTCAAATGGGGAAAATCGCTCGTCTCACATGATCTGAGCCATGATAACCCATTCATGGATCATAGTGACTCATCGCGGGTTTTCCACGGCGGAGAATACTTCTTCGCACGGAGTAGACCATTCGCCAATGAAATCGGCGGTAGCAAGGTGTCAGGGAATTTCTGAGGCTGGGTATCCATGGAATCTCATCGTACGTGTGCTCCTGCGAACTCCTCTCCGTTCGGCGCGGAACAGCTTTGACCATCGAGCCCGTCCGACCGCAGAATTCCCTTCCCGTGCAGAATCGAGGTGAGCGGGCTCTATGATCAATTGCATAGACTGTCCCTCCAGCCTACTCTTTTCGCGAAGTTTCGAAGAGAGAATGAAGAAACGAAAATTGACTTTAAAAGAGGTTCTCAACCTTTATGAAACTTCCAGAAAAACAGGGTGCACCATCTCTGTAAAAGCTCGAGGTAGGAAGGAGCTGGGCACCGATTCGTCGGAAGCGGACTGGATCATGAGTTGTATTTGGCGAGCGCTCTACGTCCTTCAGTTATCGCATGCTTCGCCAAATCACCCGGAAGTGTCAGCTGCACGGCACTCTGAATCTCTCTGTATGAGATGGTGGCCTTCTTGTTCAGAAGAGCCAAGTGAGCAGCTTCCTTCGATAGCCTTTCGAAAAAGTCGTTGACCATAGAGTTCATGATCGCCATGGCTTTCGACGAGATACCGATGTCTTGCGCAACTTGCTTCAGGACCTTGTAAATGTGGCTCGAGAATGTTTGCTTTCTCTTCTTCTTTCGCTTCTCGCCCTGTGAGTCTGACGAAGTGGAAGGCGTCTTGACCTTGGACCGTACAGGCGGACTCTCCTCCTGTTTCGTCACTTCGGCTTTTTTCGACGTTTTCACTGTCTTCGTGCTCGCAGCGCTCGGCATGATAGCTCAATCGTATTTTTTTTGCTCCAGCCTGCAATCCGACAGGTTGAAGGTGTTGGGGATCGAATTAAGCAGAATCAGATCGTGAGCGAGACGTCAGACCCCCATAAGAGAACAAGTATCAACCTACTTGAAGCAGATATGCTTTTCGGAAGCGCTCGGTCACTCCGTTCTGTTTCCACTCCAGACTGATCCCGAAGCGAACAGCCCCTGGGAAGATGTGCGTCATTTCCCTCCATGATTGTTCTTGCACGCACTCTAGACGTACATCTCGTTCAGGCCGATTGTCTCCGACACGACGTCAACGTTCTCTCGTCTTCCAAGCGCTCTATATGGAAGCCGCGCGTCTCGAGATCCTCCGCGATGGGGAGAGCCTCTATGACCGCGTTTCGCCCGGATATGTCTTCGATTTCGAAAACCTCAAACCCCCACTTTGGACCTCTGAAAAAAACGCATTGAATGACATCTTCCTATCCGTGGCAGCCTCTCCTTCGTTTGTGCAGAGAATCACCCCGCTCCCCCACCGGGCAAACGGTTCCCCCCGGATTTTGCTCCGTAGAGGACAGAGACCCGCGATTTCTTCTGATCTTTTTCCGAGCTTTCCGCGCTGCCCGTGTCGGCAGTATTCGCTTCAAACGAGCCATGACGGAATTCCTAAAAACATGTAAAAATCATGATGATGATGATTGAGAGAGAACGTTGAGGAACAGATGCAGCGCCAAACATCGTATGCTAAAGCAGGAGCGCGCTATTTCTCGAAGCCGCGCTCATTTGTGTTGTGAGAGCCTAGCGAACCGAACGAAGTCTTCAAACAACCGTCGAAATGTCTGGACGCGGCAAAGCTGGCAAGACTAAGGGAGCTCCCTCGAAGTCCCGGTCCCAGAAGTGAGTCGATTTGAGCTTGGAACGAGTGATATTTCCGCCTCATTCACGGTACGATCCTCGAGTTTTTGGCGCGCGACACGATGTCGGCCGTTCAGTTTCCCATCGGAGCTCCCTTCCGATAGAAGATAGGAAGGGCGACAAAGAATTGAGTCCCGTCGGAAGATCGCGACGGGTTTGCTGGATTTTGTGAGCGTCCGTCGGAGAAGCAGCGGAAAATTCGAATAAGACCCGACAAACTTGCACTGTCATTGTTGAGAAATGAATCATCACATGAGATCCCTGATTTCCGATCAGCCGTATTCCCAATTAATTTCGCTGTTTCATCCCGCAGAGCTGGACTCCAATTCCCCGTAGGTCGTCTGCATCGGTTGTTGCGGAAGGGAAATTACGCGGAAAGAGTCGGAGCCGGCGCTCCCGTGTACCTGGCGGCCGTTCTGGAGTATCTTGCGGCTGAAGTTCTCGAGTTGGCTGGAAACGCTGCGAGGGACAATAAGAAAGCCAGAATCATTCCCCGCCACATCCAGCTGGCTGTCAGGAACGACGAGGAGCTGAACAAACTCCTCTCAGGAGTCACCATCTCCCAAGGTGGGGTTCTGCCGAACATCAATTCGATGTTGCTGCCCAAAAAGACGGACTCTTCCTCTGCGGGGAAAGCTTCGCAAGACTTTTAATCAGCCATCCCAACAATCGGGATCTAGTTCCCCCCGGTCCACGGAAGCTATGATTTCCCTATCGTACGTCGTACCCTAATCTTTGTGAAATCATCCATGAGTTCAAGCTCTATCGTTCATCAAGAGAGAGAGAGAGAGATTGAGAATAATTGAGATTCCCTTCGGTGCACACTCAGTCAAGTAGAGTTTAGCGGAAACGAGACCAATCAGCATGACAGTACAACGAGAATAAAGTCATTAATCGTTCGCCAGAATTTTAAGGGCTCAGAGTCTTTCTTCGCCTGAAACAATCCAACATATGAGATTGAGGGAGAATTCATCCAGTAACACGCGACAGAAGAGGGATTCAATTCTCCTCTGCCCATTAGAATTATTAATTCCCGCAGCCCGTGCCGGAGCGGTAAGACGGCGATATTAGAAGGTCTAAAGACAGAGGGACTCGGATATCACTTGACGTAGTATTTTTTATTCTCCTGGAACCATTCCTGATCCAGCGCAAACATGCTCAACATATCCCACTCGAGAGGATGCAGCGAAGTCGACGGCAAGATCAATGAGTGCAGAGGTCCTCCCAGTATCTCCTTTGTCTCGGTCAGTTGCTTCAAGCTTCCTGCGACGATTTTCTGGTTTTCTGTGCCGATCCTAGCCAGGCCAACGGCTAAGCTCTCTGGAGAATACGCTGAAGATACAGAGTCGAAGAAGTTATGTCAATCAGAGGAATCCCAAGGTTCCCGCCGCAATACAATGTGCGAAACTCTATCCTCGTGGGTATCGGGCGTCTCGCTCTTAAGGAATCTGACGATCTTATACAAATTGCGCGCGGATCAGGACTCAGAACTCACCGAGGCTTTCTCTCGATGTGGCTTCCTCCTCCTTGATCTCTAGGATTTCAATGAGCTGTTTAGCGGCTTCGTGCACCATCATGAATCTCGGGGGCTCGAAAACTTTTCTGCCACGGGCGAGATTCTCCCAAGATTGCTCTTTCATCTTAATGTCTGAAAATGACGTCGGACGAAAGCTTTTAGAGAAGTTCCAGGTCCCCCCCCCCCTCCTTTTCGGGAAGGAGCCTAGGGGTCAATCTCTGCCCGATGCTCACCGAGGAGACATAGCGTGTGCAATCCAACTTTTCTGTTCGAGGCTATTTTGTCATAGTAGCTCGTCGGTCGCCAATTTTCCTGCCACAAAACTATGGACACTGTCTCTCCGAAGGAGTACAACTGCAGTCCACAGCAGCCGACGGCGTTCATTATCGACGCGTTGTGTATAACCTGAGGGGAATATCGGATTATTCATCAAGAAGCGTACGGGAGCTCACACTGTTTATCGAGGGTCGATGGTCGAGGTTTTGTCGACTCGAAGAAATTCGTATGGATGACAAGTACATGCAAGTGCTCACCTGTGTCTTTACGCCCATTTGAGCGGCTCTGATCATCAAATCGGAATGAGTTGTGGCACCAAGAGGATCTCCGACCACCAGGAAACTCACCGTGGCTGTCAAGGCTTCGCTCAGCATGGTATCTGCAAAAAAAAAATACGCACACGGCATCGGGACAGGATAATCGGGATAGGAGAGATTCTCCTCGCCTCTGGACTACGATCAGAGTTTGTATTGGACAGCTCAACTTGCCACATTCTTGCTCGACAAAAGTTCTGTCAGCCTGGATCAGCGGTTTTCCGTAGAATTTCTCCTGGGGAAAGGGGAGCAGTCGACTTGGATTCGTGATTTTGCCCGATTACGATATTTCGACCCGTCGCGATTGACTGGGGGTTCATCGGAATATAGCTCACCAGTTCGTCTTGACCAACCGTCAAAATCGACGTGTAGGCTTCGAGGTAAACTTTCTCGCTTCTCTGTATGGCCTCGAGGCCTTTGATCGTGATGTCCTTACAATCCCCTAGTCCTAGACCGATGAGGTATAACATGATGTGGGTTGATCGAAGTCAAGAATCGGAGATGTCCGTCGAGGCTCGCGCTTCACTCCCCTCCAAGTAATCTAATCCCGCGTGAATCAGCTGACCCCCCTGTCTCAGCGAAGTTCCTGTCCGGAGAGACATAGCCTTCACGAATAGATTCTCGACTTCCTCCTCGCAATAATTCTCCATCGACATGTAGCTCCAAGATACTCCATCTATATCTCATGACGAATACACCGCAAACTGACCACACACTTCTCTTCTCTCGCTTGGAACGATCCTACCGGAGAGAAATGAACTATGACGGCGCGGGGCAAGAGAGCACGTGCTTCCGAAGTGTCAGCTGCTTCCGTCGCTTAAGCGTCGCGAACGAGGCACGTCTTCACTCTTTCTCAATGACATTCTCTCTGCTCCGGAAATTTAACCGAACATCCGAGTTTTCGTGGTTCGCTCCCGACGAACATACAAGGAGATCGCGGACAGCTAATCGCTAATCGCTCTCCATAGTGATAACTACCACCGATTCAGACATCGAACAAGAAAGAGTTCGTGCGCGCGCTCCGCTCCGATCGACTGCATCCAACCTCTCCGCTCGTCCTTCTTCTCTTACGGAGTAATGATGTTATCATTATCTTTATCTCGTCAGCACTGACGAACCTTACGACTCTGCCGTGTTGAAGCTGTGTTGCGAGTAGCTCTGTGCCCCGGGAGTCAAATTCGGACGAAACTTCGCGGAACGTTGGTGAAGCTTCCCGACGAAACTCATCGATCGCTCCGACGTTCGAATCATGGTTCTGCCCGTCTATCTCAGAGGTGAAGTTCGGAAATCTCCGGAGTATGACGAGTCCTCCAGTCGGATCCTTCCCGGTCCCTCACGCGCGTCGCGCATTCGTTCTTAACTCCTTATATCCATCAGGGAAAGTAGTTCATGGTTTCGGGAGAGGATCCCGGGATTTGGGTTGTCCCACAGCGAATATCGATCCCAAGGACGTGGACGTGCAACTACCCACGAATTTTGAATTCGGTGAGTCTAATTCTGGCACTCAAGGTCGGACCACCCAGCATTTCGTTAGGAATCATTCCCTTACGATCCTTTGGGTATTAACTTTCTAAATTTGAAGGCATCTACTACGGCTGGGCGAAACTCGTCGACGGTCCGGAAAACGATTCGACCGAGCTCCAACCCATGGTCGCCAATGTGGGGCTATGCCCTTTCTACAAGAATGAGAAACCCTCGGTGGAAATTCATCTCATTCACGAGTTCCCCGAAGATTTCTACGGGGCAACATTGAAAGGTATGCGGGAGGATTCTGACAATCGTTCGCCAACCTTATTACGCCTGGATGTAGCATTTCACAATAGCTCGAGATTATTCGTCGGTGCTCGAGAGCCGTGGAATAGCTCACATGTGACGACTCCATTCCACAGTCCTCTTCCTGGGATACTTGCGGGGCGAGAAGAACTTCGATTCGGTCAACGAGCTCATCTCACAAATACGGAAGGACATCGCGGATTCGAAGGAAGCCCTGACTGCACAAGACTGCTCGAAGTATAGATCTGATCCTTTCTTCGACTGAGCAGCATGAGAGTTCTCCAATGTGGAAGAAGCTCCTTATGAATTATCGGATCTGATACCGTTGATCTGCGGCGCGTAAAACTTAATATAATCGTAACTTTCGGAATCAGGGGGAGTCCTCCCCGAGGAAATATTAACCTCAAGAATCTGCTGTTCATTTGCCGGCCTGTTACAATCGGCGTTCAAAAGGTTCCTCTATTTGTAAACCTCGCGCTGATATTTTATACACGTTCGTACCTTATCATAGGGAATATACAATATACATTTAGGATCTTCAATTGCCTATGGATAGGGTCCCTTTCGATATGATATCTCTTCTCTGATGTGTTCACGTTCACAAATATAATGTATATTCAAGCAGATGTATGGGAGATAAATAATGATGAAGACGCGTTTCTCCATTCGACCGAGTGATCTTTATCTGTATCGAATAGACCTTGGAGGGAGTTATTTCGAATGATAATGACAATCACCCGTATTGACTCCCAACGCCAGCCTTCAGCAGCCCGACTAGCTCCTCGGGATATGAGCGGCAAAGGGAGCTCTCGATTCGCCGGAGGGCGAGAGCAACTTCTCCCCCGTTCCGGTCATTGTGCTCCCCATCTTTGTACCCAGAGAGTCTCATCATCCTGTTTCGTCTTTGACCCGAATTTCGAGGGACGTTCCACCCATGAGAGCAACTCGACGTCTGACGTAAGGCCGGACGTCATCATTCCCGCATGCGATTATCGCCGCATTGTTTGCGTGATCCTGGTCTACACAGCCGACAAGTCTGCAGACGGTTTATCTGACTAAGAGGAGATGAAGCGAACTTGGCGACATCGGCAAAAGGATGAACAAGCTGACAAAGGATAGAAGTGGATCGAGTCTCTGACAATGTTGCCCGTGCTGCTTGAAGGTACGTCGTCCTTTGCGAGCAACTATTATCGAGTGGGCGATACAGACGTCAAGCGATGGACCGCAGACCGAGCCAGCGATAGCCGGAATTCCGAAACTGAATTCCAGGAAAGGTCGTCCGTGGATTCGGCAGAGGTCGCCAATTGGGAGTGCCGACCGCGAATTTGGAAGCGGACTCAGTGGCTCAACAGCTACCCAAGAATTTCCCGCGAGGTGAGGCGCAGCTTCTCGTATCATTCAAACCTCTCTTTTTCCTTTCTTGCCCTTCCCGTGCCGCCACCGCCCAGTATCTGGCCGACTTCGCGGTGAGAATGATCTCGAATGCTTCATCACGGAGCAATACGCTTTAATATTCATTTTTCGACCTTATTGTCTTTTCTTCGGAAGGAATATATTTTGGATGGGCTCAGATCACGGCCGACGAGTCGGAGTTCCTGATATATGACCCGGTTCCGATGGTCTCATCTATTGGCATCAACCCCTTCTTCAAAAACCGGAATCTCACAGTGGAAATTCATCTTCTGCCCGGTGTTCATCAGACAATTCCACGCTGCTTCTACGGCTGTACGTTAAGGGGTCAGTACGAAGGATTTTTTTCCCGATTTCCGCTTTATCTCCGCCAGACACTATTCTCATCCCCTTATGGAAATCTCCCCGCAAAGGAACGTATGCGAATCATGAGGTCTCTTCCTGTCAATCTTCTCTCCGTTCACCCCGACTGAGAAAGCTAGAGTTCGAATTTCGGTCTCGTGCTCCAAGTGTCGTTCCTCAGTACGGTGAGACTCGCGGTGGGGTGCCTGTCATCTGCTATGACTGAATCCCGAATAGCCGAGTCTCGGTGCCACCTTCGAAGAGATCCCCTTCATTGCTCTTATTGCGCTATCCTAGGACTAGTCAGGATGGACGATTCCTTGAATCAGCCCGCGACGCCTGATCCTCAATCAACGTCGAGGGATACGGAAGTCGGCTTTCGCTTTTTTTTTTTTTTTCGGCTTTATGGGAACGAGCTCCTGAGCAACGCCAGGCCCGAAGGCGTATCTTGTTACTTCGAGCGGTTCTCGAAGCGATGAGTCGAGCTCTTCGCCCTGACAGAAAATCGTGGAATCAGTGTCCGAAGAAGACGGCGCGCATGGGATTTCCCGTGTCTCGGGTGCGCGTGAGATTGGTCTCGGGTACGCTGGAGCCTTGCTGGCGAGCTGATATCATTGCGCTGCCCATGGATCGAATCCGCGAACTCGAGATGGCGACTCTTTCTAACACCGGAGGTGACAGGTGACTGGCCGTGGAGTGTCTCATGATCGGTCATGTCTAAAATTGATCACCTCAGGTAGCCCGCACTGGTTTAGTGTCTAATTACCGGTACCTTTGCCCCAGGCGGCAATATCGAAGCAAGAATCTCAGCATCCTTACACCTTTTGCAGTTCTTCTCACTGGATTCCTCCGTGACGAAAGGGATTTCTCTTCCACCGTCAGTCTGGTCGATGCGATCCGGCAGGATATCCGAGCCGCAGAACAAGAACTCTCGCATGAGCAGCAAGTCCGGCTGAGGGACACGTATTTCTCGGAAGCCAGGCAGACGCTCTCGGATTTATCTCCGGGTTGATCGTCGGCTAGCCAGTGCAGCTTCAATCCATTAGTGAAATTTGAAACCAGAAGATCTCTCGGCCAAAGAAACGAAACGAATAAATCTATTTCAGCAATAACGCTGGTCTACATCATATCATTTTACGATAAGGATGTTGTTCCCAGGACCGTGAAAGAACAATGCGGTCCAGTTGAGGTTTACACAGTCAAGTCGAAGAATGTGCATCATGCCGGGGATAATTCGTTGTCATCATGATGAAGCCTCGAGGGAAGATATAACACAGCTGTACAGGGTTGGATTTCAAGACACTCCGAGAACCTATTGCTTTGAATCTAAATTGATAATCAAGAATTTCCATCGGTGACTTTGCGGACATCTCGGTTGTACTCTTCCAGCAAGACCTTGCGAAATTCTTTTTGATCCGCCCATAAAGTCGCTGCTGTCGTGTTGAGAGGCGAGTTTATGTTGGGATCTGGCGAGTTTGAAAACGTTATTGGATTTCGTGTATTTTTAGACTCCAGGTTGGCGGGCTCGTCATTGAGCGTGAATATGCCACCGCTAAGCTGAGAATTCTCACCCGCGAGCAATGATCTTATGGAGATCAGGATCGTTCTTATGTCTAACATGGCGGACCACTTGCTGCTGAGGATATCTAAGCAAATGCCGCCTGTTTTACTAACATTCGGATGGAAGCAGGGAGTTCGGAACATAACCTGCGGAGTGAAATGGGTTCTGAGCGATTCCTTATACGGGAGTCTTCTGTGTGGTTATCGAGAGGGCGACCTATTGAACGAATGACTCATTTGCTGGTCTCTGCCACTAGCAATTACTCACAGTAGGTGGTTTGAATGGATAATCTGACGGGAACACAAACGTCAACTTGTACGTCAGACCGTCGTAGGCAGTGTTTATGGGGCCTTCGATCGTCCCGACCCAACGGTAAAGAGTATCCCCATCTGGAAACGCTGACACGCCGACCTCTGGGTTCATCTGCAAAAATTTTCTTATTTGATCGAATTTCCGCGGAGTAGAGGCAGATGATCCCACGGATTATAATAAGAGGAATCGGAAAAGCGGCAGCGAGAATAGAGAATTCCGACTCCGCAACTGACCGTGAGAGCCATAAGTTCATCTTGCAACCTGTAAACGGAATCGAAAAGATTCTTGGTGAGACTCTGACACGGTCGGGCCCATAACGCAGCGCGGCTACAGAACAACATTCGGTGAATTCCAAGGGCATCGTCGAGATCACTTTAGGCATCGAGATGGATCAATTTGTTGACAATTGAGGATACTACATGATCCGGGGCGCAAGAGGCGAATTCGGAGAAGAATCTCACCGTTTAGCGAGCGCCTGACTGGCCCTTGGCTTAGATTCGGTGCTCATAGTGGTTCTTGAGCTCAGGCCTGTCGATGCGGAAATGAAAAAACAATGAGCGAGGAATCAGGTCTATGGTCAGTCTGAATGCTGATTTCTCAGCTGGAGCGAGACATTCTGAAGGATCGGTGCAGCCGCTCCCTTCGGAAGCCGACGGAGTGAATTCCCTCTCGAAGCTCTAATCGATTCATCTGTACGGAAGACATCCTAGAGAATTCATGCTCTCTGTTGCTAGCACACTCGAGAAGACTGGCTCCGAGGATTCGTCCAGGAACGGAAAAGCAAAGCCAGTACCCGCGATTCCCTGACTCACCTCCGAATCTCTTCACCAATCAAACGATAATCCAACGATAAGCCTTACGAATGTTTCTTATTTCGTTGTGCGCACGAATTGTTTGCTAGTTCAGCACAACGGTTTCCGAGGCAGACGACCGGCGCGCGCCAAACACCTTCGGAGAGGAGACCACCGAACGAAAATATGCTCTCGCGCCAACGGCGGCAGATCGTAGTGGGCAGCGCGGCTCTCGCCACACTGGGAACTTATTATCCAGTTGAAAGAGACTTTCGTTGTCTATCAGAAATATCTTCTGCAGTAAGAGGCGTCCGAAGAAGCTGAGAACATTGATGAGCGTCCCGGCCAATGATCTCCTGCTTTCTGCACGGGATGACATCCTCGCGAAATCATATAATTTTATGCAATATGTATTCGCGAAACTCATTATTGTGCATATATCTATGTACTTAGCCCAATAACTGTCTGGGATGAAGGCAGTTAGAGCGCATCGGCTCTCGAGGCTCGATCTACGTTTAAAGAGATAAATCCGACCTCTTGGACGAGATCCCACGCTCGAATATAGTAGAAGCAGACATCGCAAAATAATCACCGATCAAACGGGAGCATGGCTTGTCCATGCAATACCGGCAAGCCATCCAGTGATGGAGGCTGGAGGCAGCTGTTTCACTCCGAGAGAGCGCACATGATCCAGAAGGAGACCTCCGAGGCCGAATATTCGGACAACAGGAGTTACTTCGCTCGGTTCCATACGATCACTTTGCTGAACGGGAGAGGACATCGCTAAATAGTCAGAATTCACGTCATTCCCGGATCTCAGAATTAGTATCCTTGGCTCCAGCTGATCCGAGTTCGCGCTTCCTCCAAGAGACGCATACGATCCTGTCCGAAAGGACCGGAGCGCCCTCTGGTATTCGCTCCTGGCATTTTTGTCCTGGAGAACGAGGGTGGATTAAAGCTCCAGTATGGCGTCTGACTCGCTATACAGACTACAAGTGACTGCGGGAGGACCTGTTTTTCAGATTCATGTCTAATCGTCTCTGAGATTACGTTGATCTTATGCCAGTGGCCCTGAATTAGACTGAGCCACGTATCGTTAGAGAATACACACATATCAAGGTGAGTTCCGGAGCTGGCGCGATCGGAGGCAGCCTCGTCAAGCGTCTGGTATGCGGTGAATCTCGAGAGTCTCGAGGCTAAGGAGTCTCGAGGTTTTTCCAGCAGCTCCGCCAGTTGGCTGGAACGTCGTATGGACGCGAGGAGCGGATGCGTGGATGAGCTTATGAAATTCGGTCCTGTTGAGAGACGCTTGAACGAGTTCCCAAGAGCGACTTTCACGAAGTGCAGCGCTCCGGTGCGCAATAAATTGCGGACCGTCGGGGGGAAGCAGTTACGCTTTTGATACGCATCTCTGTGGAAGAGAATGGTAATTCCTGTCCCCAGCGAATCGAAACAGAACGAGTCACTTCCATTCGCATCGACCTATATTACACGCGGGGAGTCTTGTATCAAACTGCGGCAATATATTGTGCGGCAAAGTTTTCGGCCTTCAATGTCGTACTCTGCATTATTTCTTTTCATGGACACTGGGTCGGCTGTCCGATGGCGTTCGGCCTGGAATCGTCCTCTATGTATACGGAAGGGAGAGCTCGGACGCAATAGAAATGCGTCAATTTCACTCGTTTCCAACACCCTCCTGAGTTTTCTTGCTGAGAAGAACAAGATCCGAGACTTCTGGACGGCACGTAATTTACGCCATATCCGATGAGATGTACAGAGAGAACGAGAAGAGAACATGGTTAGATTGCGAAAAGACCGAGCCGGAGTGCCACTCGCCTCTGTATCAACCTGAGTGTTCGAGGCTGCGGCATTCGTCGGGGCGGGGGTTGCGTTCTACTCGTCCTATTGCCTTCTCGAGTATCCCCTATGCCGAATGGTGTCAAGGCGGGTAGAATATTTATTCCTCTCGACAACCGAACCCCTCGGGAGACGGGAGTCTTATCACCAATGTCGGCGAGCTCCCCTAAGAAACCCGGTCGCATCGGAAGGCTCCGAGCGCGGTGGGACCGGCGGAGCTGAGGAGGATTCATCTCGCCTCCCCAAAAGAGGCTTGCGGGAAATCGTGTCGATGTGTTATACCAGGCCCTAATGTGTCTTCTCCCTTGCAGCACAACATCATCGCCATTAACAGCGTGTCAAGGACCGCAGTTCCCACACACTGAATGGAGAGCAAGGTGAGAACCGGAACCAGGAAACTTACGCCAATTTTTTGGAGAAGCCGTGTGGGAGCGCACAAAAGCTCGAAGTCCGGAGAAGAAGTCGTGGATGGGAGACTCGATGCCGAGAGGGCGAGACAAATCTCCAGCGTGACGTGCTGAATTTATGAAAATCGATGCTCCAAAATCCTGATTTACCGTAAGATCAATGCGTCGGGCATCTTGGACTGCCATTCTCTTTCACCTCTGAATGTCCTGAGACCTGTTTGCTGCAGATAAGCAGCAGGTCGCTTGTGTGACATTCCAAGAAAGCTCGAATCGTGAGCCGACCGGAACCGCTCGGTCAGCTCTAGTCAGATGTGTGTGAAGAATGACACACCCACTCCCGCAGAGTTGGGCGTTCTACCGTTTGTTTTCGTTCTGTTCGAGAGCTCCGAGCTGGATCCGTCTAATCGGTAAGATTCAGCAATGAGCGGGAGCTTAAACCAGTCAGTGAGCAGAACCGCGAGGGCTGAGTTCGCGCTTTGATAATTCGCTCAAGTGCTAATAAAGCGCCCGGCTTAGGAGCAAGGTTCACCCGTGCACTCGAGCAGCCAGTCTCCGCTGTCTGTCGGCTCGAAGTGAGCGAACGGAATACACAGGACCATGAAGGCCCGAAGCGCGATCGCAGTCATGCTGATGCACTTCGAGGATCCGTCTCCAATGATGGTCGAGAGTAATTATTGAGCCATACCTATTCAGAGAAAGAGAAACGAATTTATCTTGCGTGAAATATGAAATGTAATGGGAACGGCTCCTACTCAGCCCAATCAACAGACATCGGATCGGACGGTTCACTTTTGTCACGCTGAGAGTCACGACGAAATTTTCGCTGAGAGTAGTCTGTTTTGTTTCAGGAACGAGCCGCGCGTCCTCCAACCATTGTGGGCTTGCCGGGCCAGATGATTCCCCTGAACGGGGAGTCTGGCTTGGGTCAGACATCGGACGCGGATCGGGACAGCACGCCCGACTGGTCCCCCGACACAGGTAGGAAATGTTACGACGAGTTCGCGAGGTAAAATGCTTGACCATCTGGTGGGCTACAGAGCTATCGAAAAATCCTGTTGGTCCTTCCTAATTTTGTCGCTTGATAGAGAGAAAGTGCTTCATACAGCAGAATTGGCGAATGAGTCGATCAGACAACTTCTCGCAGTAGACCTCGCGACGATTCTTGCTCCTGTCCGAGACTGAGCAAAGTTGCAAATTCGATTACACGACTGACTAAGTCATGATCCGGCAAGAATGTTCTCCTTATTATACATTCGCTGGAGCTCCGAGGAAAGCGTAGGACGCTGGTCGAATCAGGGCTCCTAAGTCGGCGCTTTCGACGCCTCGACCCCCAGAGCTCACTGACTCTTTGGAGCCGAGTCCTGTGCTCAGGCGTTCGCGGATACGGGAAAGAATCGATGGGCTCGACTTTGACGTTCGTGATTCAAAAATATAGCCTCTTCTTCCGGCTGCGGACTGAAATTTAAATGCGCCTGACATTCGACCTCTTTCTCTTATTATTGATGAGGCATTCAAATAGATAGGTGCGTCCCTGGAAATTTCGAGAGCTCTTGCTCGAAAATCCTGGGAATACTGTCCATGTCCATGTATGACAGTATTCGCGGTATCTCCGTTTGCATAGGTGCAAGCGACTCGCCTGCCCGGGAACCGATCGAGGAGCGTCTCGGGCCGGGAAGTCGCTCCTACGACTCACTTCGGTGGTCCGCCTCTGCGGCCCGAAGTAGGATAATTGCTCGATGCTCTACCGATTCAAAATTTTGTGAGAGTCCCCGAAGGCGACTTATGCAATTCCTAAAATGATCTTAATTTTTCCAGTGCTGTGGAGATCCTTGCCCAACTCTGTGGTCGACAATCGTTCTAGTAGGAGCTCCTCGGGCATACCGACATCTCTGACCGACTCAACCATCGAAGAAGATTCAGTAGGGACCGCCAAGTCCTTGATGGCGTCATCTCTGTACTCAACAGCGTCATCCTCCCTCCGATTGAATCCGCAGCTGGTGAACACCCGAGTAGAAATGGTTTATTCCCTTCTGTCGACGTTGGCAACTGAAGATCGCGATGACGTTTCTGCCACTCTTGAGACCATGACAACTTCGAAAGAGAGTTGCCTCGCGATGCGACAGAGCGGCTGCATTCCGCTTCTCGTTCAGCTTCTCCATGGGATTATCGACGAGCACGGGAACCCGAAAGGTAGAGAGAACGCTTCGCGGCGAGTATTACTTGACCCACGTAGTTTCCGCTTCGCGTCGTCGAACGTTTCCAAAATAATCAATCAACGGATTTTCAGGTCGACTCCGAACTCGTGAGTCCAGAGTCCGGGCCGCCAAGGCTCTGCACAACATTGTACATGCTTTGCCCGACGACAAACGATCCAGACGCGAAGCTCGTGTTGTCAAGCTTCTGGAGCAGGTTCGATAACTTTTTTCTTCTTATCGGAACTGCCACGCTCCCGGCTCGCACTGTTCGAGGATGAAGCATCGATTCGAGGGAAATAAGCCTGTGAAACGAAACTTCCAGGTCCGAGACTTCTGTGATGCGCTTGAAGAAGGTGATCAGGCAGAGAATTTGGAGAATGAGAATAAGGAATTCGAACATCCAACCTCAGCGGTTGCCGCCCTCATGAAGTTGTCTTTCGACGAGGAGCACCGCCACGCCATGTGTCAACTCGGTAGGTTGTAGATAGCCACCTGGGTGGCAAGAAAACCCCGACTCGCAAAATAGAGGAATTGCGTAGCGATTCCTCTCTCAATTTCCTTTCCCGAGCATTTTCCCGCTCGTGCACTCAGCCTCGTTCGAATTTGTGGTCGGAGTAGGTCACTCCTCCCATGTAACGCGCGAGTCCCTATCGCAGGTGGTCTTCAGGCGATCGCAGAACTCCTTCACTGCGATTTCGCTGCTCATGGTCACAACCGTGAGTCCTGCCTCCTGATACGTCGCTACTCGGGCATGGCTCTGACGAACCTGACCTTTGGCGATGGCAACAACAAGGCGGCACTTTGCTCGATGCGAAGCTTCATGACATCTCTCGTGGCTCAATTGGATTCTCGATTCGACGATCTGAAACAGGTCACCGCGAGTGTACTGCGTAACCTATCCTGGCGTGCCGACAGCATGAGCCGAGTCTCTCTGCGAGAATCGGGCAGTGTCATTTCCCTCACAAAGTGCATGATGTCCATGGAAAAAGAAGGAACCCTGAAATCCGTCTTGTCGGCTCTGTGGAACCTGAGCGCTCATTGTACTGAAAACAAAGTTCAGATCTGCTCTGTCGAGGGTGCCCTCGGTTTCTTAGTCGGGTGAGTATTCGGACTGCCGAGTGATTTATTCATTCATTCCTGTTTCCCTGGTAGGAGAAGAGAGGCGGGGAGGGGAAGGCGAGGGATACACGTAGTGTTCCGGTGCTGTCAAGCGATCCGGATGGGATCCCGATTCTCGTGAACGATTTTCGTTCCGTGGAAGAGAGCTCGTCGAAAGCCATAGTGTCATCAAAATCGACTGGACCCTTCCTGAGTCGCGAGGTCACGTCTCTCGATGTTGATGAGCTCGTCCTAGCTAGTCCTGGCTTCATGCCCAGGTATTGGAAGCGACCGGACGGAAACCCGGGGTGGCTATAACTCAAACACGTGACGCTAGTATCTCGGCGATGAGTATTTGCGGAAGTGATGCTCTTGAGTTGCTCTTCTTCAGCTTATCAGCTCGCCGAGTTGAGTTTTTGATCATTCTAGCCACGGGGGGCATCTGACAAGGACGCTTTTGGCAAACCTCCAAGGAGGGTCACTCTCGGGTTGACCTTTCGAGGTTTCGCACTGTAACTGTGGACGCGTTTTTCCCTCTGGAGCAGCGGGGAGGCTCCTCGAATGGAGCGCTTCGATTATTTATCCCCTCGTGGAGGGCGCGGCATCGAAGACAATCGAGATCCCGTCTCCATCTATTATTTATTCATAGAACCGTACAATTTTTGCAGGACCCTGACGTACCGGAGCCAGGGCAAAACCCTTTCAATCGTGGAGAACGGCGGCGGAATCTTGAGAAATGTCTCATCGTACGTCGCAACACGAGACGAATACAGGTGATTTCTGCGACAGTGCGGAGTACAGTCCATGAACACTGAGTATGATTCACCCGCCACTGGCAAAAACTCAGTCTGAATTCCAATTTTTTTCAGAGCGATACTGCGCAGACACAGCTGTCTCGAAATTCTTCTCCAACAACTGAAATCTCCGAGTCTTACCGTGGTCAGCAATGCGTGTGGAACGCTTTGGAATCTATCCGCGCGCTGTCCCCAAGATCAAAAACGACTCTGGGAGCTGGGTGAGTCAATCGGAACCATGCAATAATTTTTGTCGGAACAGGAACCGTCGCTGGCTCTGTGGTCAGAGATGGAAAGTCATCATGCAAATAATCGGGACACGTGGGTCCCTTGGCCTTGAACCCAATGTCGCGCACCGCCTTTCCGATTGCAATAAATAAATGTTCGGAGTGTTTCTCCAGGAGATTATGCGATTAAAGCCCACCATGTCAATGGCGGTTCAACGACTTCACAAGCTTCGCTCGAATGTTTGCATCGAATACGCTCTTCTTTCTGATATTCGTCTCGCTGCCGAAGGTTCGGAAACTCAAACGTGTTCTCTGGCTCGCTTTCAGGCGCTGTCGGTATGCTGCGCAATCTGGTCAACTCGAAACACAAAATGATCTCGATGGGCTCGTCCGCCGCTCTCAAGAACCTTTTGACGGCTCAGCATCTCTCCGATTCTCTAGAATGCGGCGGGCTCGAGTCAAGACTGAGCTCGCTCGTCTCCGAGGATTTGTCTCTCAAGAGTTCCGAGACGAGCTCGATCAGAAGTTGTGACACTCCCGTATTGCTGGCCCGCAAGGCCAAGAATCTCAAGCAGCAATACATAACGGGTGAAAACGCCAAAAACCTCAGTGAATTGTGCGACAACATCGAAGCGTCGCCGAAGGCCAGCCCCGGTGAGTGCAGAGTTCAAGTTCAATAGGACTTCTGTCCGCGACGCGTTTTCCGAACGTTTCCGATTCAGATACCGTCGAGCTTCCGTTTCCGATTCCCATTCCTTTTCCACTATTCTGCACCGCAAGGTATTCGCAGAGAGATCATCTGAGCGGCCGAAAACAAAAATCTCGTGATAATTTCGAATCCGTGGGAAAAGTCAAAAGGCGGCCGAGGGCCGGAGTCCTTGACTCCCTTGATCGAGTAATATAAGCTCGAGGACCACCGGAAAGATTTTCGACTTGAATGCGGTAGTCCCGTTAGCCCGAGCGCAGAGGATTGTATCTCGGCTTAAATGTCAAAACGCGCTGCTGGAGAGTCGGCGGTCTCTGCCGCAGCTTGGTAATGACCCAGTTGAGAATGGCGCCTTCGAGTCCCACAAGCAGTTTCTTTTCATCTCGAAGCTTTTTGCTCTGATTGATCGCAACGTATCGTCGCGAGACCTACATTATCAGTACTAGATAGAAGGGGAAAGAAAGTGTAGAAAACGGTCCCGCGGACAGCCGAGATCCTGGTTTGAAAATGAGACGATAACGTCAGAACTGAACGATTCAAGACAAATCCAATTTCGCGGGATTCCTTCGTGTCCAACACGGGGGCCAAAGTATGGAATCCCCTCATTTACGCGGCTTCATTTGCTCGCCACAGTGTCCGAGAAGAGATCTCTCTTCTTCCCTTCGCTGCCGGGTCGCATGCATTATTCTGTCGGCGAACACGTACCGCGGTCCGCATCGAGGGACTCCATACGGTCGACGTATTCTGAGCCAGGCTATGTACGCCCCAGACCGCACTCCTTAGGCCAACTGCGGCATTCGAGCATCGATCGGTATTCACACATCGATTGGAGCACTACTTCAGGTGAGGCGACCGATGGGGACTTTTGAAACACGATGCCTTACGTCGTTGTTCGACGGAACCTCTTTATTACTATCAGTGAATATCCGCAGCTTTCCTGGCGTCTTCTGAAGGAACCCGAGCTGCATCGGCTCGTCGGCGACCCGCGAGCTCCTCCTGCGTGAGGCCGACGTCGACATACGCTTCGTTCATATCGACTTCAATTTTCGAAGACAAGGAGGAGTTTTCACCAACGAATAGCAAGGTCTGTCGGTCATACTTTGTGCCTCCACATTGTTCGCGTAGTCGCGGTACGCGAGAGATGCCTGATGAATGATCGACGTTGTACAGAGTCGCTCGTTGTTACCGAGTCCGGTAGCCGTGACACGATTTGTACCTTACAGCAAGGAACTCCACACAGAGAACCTCGCAGATCTGCGAGAGACCCACCGAGAGATGTCAAAGCACGAAAAGATACCTCGGAAAAGAAACTCTCTATCGAGAAAAGATCGGCGATACCGAGCCCAATGAGTGGGTCTATGACGGACTCTCAGACTTCCGGCTCGTCTCCATTGAAACGCAGCCGGATCCCTCAGGTCAAGAGACCGACGGAATCCCCTCCGCCCCCGCCGTCGATGAACAAGAAGAAAACCGCTCCGGTGGAGCCCCGCTCGACGGAGACTGTTTCCATGGAAATTCCGAATCCGGGCCCTACCCCGGGAAACCTCACCGTGAGCTCCTCGACAGATCCAGCGTCCTCGGACTCGGAAACCAACCTTTCACTGCCGGAAAAACCTCCGACCGTGGCGGTCAGGAGTGTGAAACCGGTTCCAAGTGAGTTTTGCTATCTAGAAAATCTACGATGAAAATTTGCGTCGTTTCATGCTGGCCGATCCGGTCGAAATCCGTACTGACGTAGATTTCCGTTCCCGCTCACAGCGCCGCCTCCTTCGTCGCCGAATTTCCCCTCGAAAAAGAGCTCCGGAAACAACAACGATTCCGACAGGAACTCATCCTCCATATCGGACAAAAGTCCACCGCCCTCGCCGCGGAAAAGCCTCACGAACAAGCACTTACGAGCTATCGAGATCGAGGACGACTCGAGCATCACTTCCGACCTTGGCGGGGTCCAGCCGCCGTCCTTCTTCAACGATTTGGGCTCGATGGCGAGCAGCTGTGGGTCTCTGGAACTCACTGGAGATCGTACTCCCGGGAAGAAACTCTCGCTCCAGGCCCGACAATGCTGGAACGCAGACGAATGGAGTCCGAAAAGCTGCGAAAACCTCGACAACGTTATGCCGCCCTCAGGCTTGAACTCGGTCGAATGCCTTTCGCTCGGGAGCTCTATGAACTCCGATCTCCTGCTGAAGTGAGTTCGCGGCATGGAAACGGGGCAATGGCTCGTAAACCGGATACGCGTTCCCCATAGCGGCGCAGGACGTATGCCCGCGATCCGCTCGACGGGTTTCTCATATCTTTTTTTTTTCTATTCCAGCGCCAATCCGCCTTCGTACATGGAGGACCACTCGTTCGACGACCGCACGCATGACGTCATTGCAGCCGACGAGACCTACACGCGAGACGTTGTAAATCACAATGAACCGCCGATTTACCCTCGCGTCAGCGCCGCCACGTACACTCAACAGAATCCGCAATTCGCAAACAACAAGCCTTCGAACAACTGCGTCGCTCAATTGCTGGACGATCCGACCGAGATCGGATCGGACGCGTTCCTGTCAGATGTCGAAGGTGATGATCTTCCCTACGATTCGAGTACTGAATATTACACCTGTCGACAGTCTACGGAAACGTTACGCGCTTCGCACTTCATGAGCTGCAACAGCGGCCACTCGAAGGACGCGACTGTTGGTAGCAGCGAGAATCTCACATCACTCGACAACACGCTGACATTCGACGTGTCGGCGGGCAGGAGGAACTCCTGCGCTGATCTGACGTACGACGCTACGCTAGTATACGAGCCAGCCGATGACGAGTGCTCTGTCGTGAGCAGCGTTGACGACGCCACCTATGACATCTCGTCGCCGCGGCCCCAAACTCCTACGAGAGGTGCTAGAATCGTGAAGCCAGTTGTGATCAACGGTGTGCCCGTAATGCCGGGATCGCCCGCGAAACCGCCAGTCGTAATCATAGCGGGGAGAAACTCAACGAAAAATTCCCCTAAGAAAGTACCAACGGTACCGATTCGCCAGACGAGGGCGAGTGCTCTTCGAGCCTCGAGGGCCCAGATTCCGGCTGAGCTGGAGAGATCGGGCTCGAGATCCACGAGCTCGTCGCCGGCGAGATCGCCGCCAGTGAGCGCCAGGCTTTCAAGTCCGGCCAATCGCCGCCCCCTCCCGAGAACGGCGTCGTCGCCGACCCCGAGAACGCCTATCGGCGGAAAAGCTCCGCAGGTGGCGAGCCCGCTCGCCTCACGGAGCTCGAGTCTCAACAGCAGAGTTACGTCGGCCGATAACGTGCGTCCACCTACCGGTCCGAAAACTCAAATTGAGAACCAGCCCCCCAAGCCCGCCGCTCTGACGAAACAAGGTACATTCACGAAAGACTCCGGTGAGCTCGCTCTGAAGCCTGCTCCTGCGATACCAGCCAGGACCATCGTGCCAAACGCAACCTCTGTCCAGAACAATCAGGCAAAAGCAAACGTGAGTGGTTCCCTCTCCTCCCGTCATTGGATCCATCATCGTTCATCCATGTATGGCGATGGAAGGAAAGATTAATTATTGATCGATTCGAGTTCGCATTACTCCTGTTACAGACAATGAATGCGGTCCGTGCTCCCATGCACAAATCGTCGTCCGTGAGCCACAACATGACTCGAAGCACCCACCCGACTCTCAACAGGGCACAGTCTGACGCTGCGCAAATGAGCAAATCCGTCGTCCAGACGGCAACTCAAAGGTGGGAAATTCTGGTCAAGTTGAGAAGAACTTTTTTCCAAGACGATCAGGGTTTGAGCTCATTGGCTTATGTCAATCGAGCATCATCGACTGATACTTAGAAACTCCCGCAGGGTCCCCTTGGCAATGCGGACCACCGCCGCTTCTCGCGCCCGCGCGGCAGCGATCGCTCATGCAAAAGCGCAACCAAGCCAGGCACGCGTTGTTCTCACGAAACGAGCCATCACTAGTATAGAACGACCAACATCGAACTCGATCAACAACAACGTGAACAACAACAATTACGAGAACAATGACTTCACCATCAACAAGAACAACACGACGGCTTTTCACGCTAACGACAGCTCATCTTTGATTCGGAGTGGAACTTACGAGAAGATCAACGAAGTAGGGCTCACTGCCTACCCTGATTCGAACGATAACGAGAAGAGCCGAACCGTCGGCGCCCATCCAGTGAGACCCAGTGAGTTTTGGTCGACCTCGAAAACGTCATCAGCTCCCCAGAGTTCTCAGAAAACCACCGGATTCTTGAAGAGATCCGTGGCCGCTTACCGGAAGGTGGGCGATTCGTCCCCTGTGGCCGCTCCCCGTTCGATCCCTGGACTTCGGAGTCCATCCGAAGTGACGAAACTGGTCGGTCCGTCGGTTGCGAGTGTTGCGTCTCCCGCAGCAGTGATCGCACCGTTCAGCTATCGTCCACGTTCGACACCAACCACCCCGAACGGCTCAAAGATTCCCATGATCAGGAGCGAGGACAAGAAGCCATCAACTACGCCCGATGACGAGGGGTACGTTGTGGCCACAGCTCGTCTAGTCACAACTGTATAGAAAACTGATCGAGAGGGTCGTCATCGAAGATCATAAAGTACACTAAACAGATTTCCGACGTGGACTGGGAACCGATTGAAGCATCTTGTGCCATTTTCACGCTCATTTCACAATAACAAAGATAATACATATGTAATATATGTCTCCACCTGAAGATGGCGTCGCCTCATCCCAAATCAAAACCATTTAAAACTTTCGTCAACTGAGATACCGGATAACGTGACTGTCGATTATTGTCTCTCATAGCAAGAAGGAAAGAACTGTACTCAGAATTTGGAAGTCGATTGAACTCGTAGTCTCGCATCTCTAGAATCCCTCGTACACTCTCGCATTTCCTAAACGAAATGTTCTCGAGACGTCGGCAAACGAGGGAGGCTAGAGCGGACCAAGCCGGTAGTAGCAAGCAATTGCATTTTCTGTACCTACACAGACTGCGAGACAGAACAAGCGAAATGAAGGCCTGAATAAAAATAGCGGGGCTCGCGTTCAAAATATTAACTCTTCCTTTATTATAAGTCCTAGAAAGAAAAAAATGTGTAATATATCTTGTAGGGTGTATGATGCTCCCCTTCACAGGTCGAAGCTCTGCTCCGTAAAACATGTTTATGCACAATGTATGTAGACCGGCCCATTCTTAGCATGGTGATAGATGGCCGCATGATGATATGATGCTTTAAAGTCAGTGCGACTGCTTGATTCCTCTCACAAGCGGTGAGCCGAGCGCTGCGTCGGCGGGACATCCAGCGCCGGATCGAGTTCTACGGTGAATATAAAAATGGCTCTTAAATGGTCATAGATACCGAGAACGATAAACTGAGAGGTCGACAAATGTCCCGGAAACAATATGCAGCGAATGTTGGGATAGCCTGCCTCTCATAACCGGATGATTCAACTCCGCGCATAAACAATCGCTGCCAACGCAGCTCCGTACGCGGATTCACAGTTTTTACCGAAGTCCACGGCGAAGTCGGCGAAAATCCGTTTGACTTCGGTGCGTAGAACGACGTTGTGGTTGATGACCTTGCCGCAACAAACTATTGAGGCTATCGACTGATCTTGAAGTATCTTGAGTGGCAGTGTTGTTATCAGGTTCTCTAGGAGACCGGCACAAGTAGCCCGAAACGTCATGTCTAAGGAAGGTATCGCGGGGGTGAGATCCAGAACGCTACCCGTCAGATCCGGATCGTGGCGTTCCCCGAACAGCTGAGGGTTCACCCGGATGTTCGGACTGTCGGATGATTGCGGACTCAAAAGCCTTTCCCAAATTTTCGACTCGGGAAGGGGTGCGCCGAGTTCCTCCAGCCAGCATCGCAACGTGGCGACGAGATGCGAGAGAATGTTCCCGCCGTTCAGGGATGCGGCCACGCACAGATATCGCCCTGGAAAAATATCGCGTTGGTTTCAGTTCGACCAGACTCTGACCCTTGAGAGGGACTAAACGACGAAAATATGCCCGTCCGCAACTATCTTGATATGGGCATACATATTATGATTTGCGGATGAATCGTTTTTTACTCACTGTCGAAGTATGGGAAGTACGAGTAGTCTCCTCGTGGGTGGATCTCACGGCTATCGGAAACGAACGAGAGCTGACTACTTGTGCCCATGTTCAAAAGAGCGGTATTTTTGTTCTCCTGCAAGGCTGACAGCGCCGAGCACTGTGTGTCTCCGAATGCCGCAAAAACTGGTGTTCTCGCTGGTATACCGAACCAAAAGTACTTGAGTTTTCCCGCCTGTTGGCTCTCGTCCACAACCTCGGGCAAGAGGTAGCACGGGAAATCTGCCGAGGCCAGAGCTCCGACATCCCATCGGTTGTCTTCAGGGTTGAAATAGCCGAACGAAGCTGCGTTGTGGGAGGTCATGACAGGGGTTTCCCGGTCGGTGAGCATTGCCACCACAAGGTCTTGAATTGTTCCGGCGCACTCGTAGTCCTGGGATAGTGAGCCGTTCTTGAGCAGCCAGAACAATGAGGCACATCCAAATCCGGAACTGACATCGCCGAAACTAGAGGAACTCTTTCGGGGTAGGCCCTCGAGGAAATCTTTTGTGCATCGACGATCCTGCCATGTTATGAGATTGCTTATGTTCTCCTTGTTGAAAGCGAAGCGTTCTTTCGCGAGCTCGTATCGCCATGCATTTTTCTTCCACAGAACCACGCCGTGCATCTGGCCGCACACCGCGATCTTCACCACGCGCTTCAGGAGCTCTTTGTCGATTGTGGAGAGGCAGTACTGCAGCGCTAAGAGGATCTTTTCAGGACACTGCTCATCCTGGGGCTGAATCGCGTTCAACGAGGCTTTTGTGGCCTGACTGAGCTGCAATACTTTTTGCCTGGAGCTCTGGTCCACGAGACACACTTTTACTGCTGTCGTCCCGAGATCCACGCCTAAAACGTACTTCACTTCGTCCATGGCCTGGATCGAGTCGTCGCTATCTGCTCCTGATTCAGCAGTTCGCCACCGAGCCGACGCCAAGACGGTATTCCGTCCGACGGGGAAAGCGCGCTACGACTCTTCTCTCCAGTGTCAAGGACGCTGGACAATCGTCACCGTGAATCGAAGGGAAAAAAAACCTATACAAAGTCCACAACGGATTGGAAAAGTAAACGAGCTGAATGAGAGCACTCTTTCGAACGATGTCTTCGTAAATAGAGCAACGTGTTGCCACCCTCTCGCCACCGCGACGTGGGGAAGGTACGGCGCGCTCCGAAGGTTCGGACCCCTCGTTCGGACCTCGTGATCCGGTCCGAGCTGCGGCTCCGGATTTTCGATTGTAACATTATTGGGAACCATTTGGAGACTTCATCAGAAGAGTAGCAAACTTATCGAATGTCATCTGCAGCCGTCGCGACGCGGTGACGAGACATACCAACCTAGATTGTTCGACATATCGTGTCATGTCCCGTGCCAACTACCTGCGTCATTTTCAAAGAAAGTATCCATTGTTGACAGATCTGTGGAAGTCTCTTCCGTCATTTATTTGTTGTTTCGTCACCGGACCGCGCACGCCGATAAGATTCGGTAGATTTCTATCTTATTTTCCTGTGCCACGGAGATCTCTCACACCACCCGATCCAAGCGTTTCTTTGAAGACTGTTGCGCGAGGAAAGCCTCACTAGAGGCTCGGAAACTGTGTCCACCGGAACAGGGGTTTTCCAGACCCGAATAATAACAGATAATGATATTCAACCCCTACTCCGCCCTCCTTCCCCCAGAACTGAAGAGAGACACTAGACTCGGATCCCTAACATCGTCGGAGCTCATGGGTGAGAGACACGAGGTTTTCGACGAGAAGCGTCGGCGTCGTCGAGTAGACGTCCGGTAGAAGTCATTTGGCGGCGAAGCGCGGTGCTCACAGTCCTTATCAGAGCCCAAATCCAACCAAAGCCGTCTCCGTCCGCGAGATTCAGATGCTATGTCTCGACAAAAAATGAAACATCTCGAGATATATTTTTCTGAGGGAGACATTTACCTTTTCCATATCGGCGAAGAACGAATCAGCAATTCGGTAGCTGAAATAGTTGATTCGCCAGGTGCCGTGCGGCCTTCTCTCACCCTCAGTCGTTCGAGATCCGATTCTGGAAACTATCCTGCAGCTTCACTGGAAGATCGCGCTGTTGGTCCAAGCTCCCTCCGCTCCTGATGAGTCTCGCCATAGCTTCCGGATCTGCTTGCCCGATCATCAAAATGCACTCAAACACGGTCCGGACTTCGAACTTCATGAAGAGAGAAAGGTGCGACAGTCTTCCTAGCGACTCCTTGCCCCTTCAGTGCACTTTCAAAATCATCCGTGTTACGAATGCGCGCGTTACAAAGAATCAAAGCTCAAGATTACGGCTGATTTGTGATGCTTTCTCAGTGGGGCCTAATGTAGGTCACGGTCAGAAACAGTAGGGTCATTTCGTAGCTCGCAGATTTAACGATGATCAAAAGCGCCTTTCTACCATACGCTGTGAGCGGAGTGCTTATCTTGATGAGAAATATTCTGTGATCATCAGCTACACTGGGAATAATGTTGCTCGCGAACATTCGTGATTAATTGGATCTTGTCGAAAATGTCGAAGCTCACCCTCGAATTCTATGGCACAGGCTCGGAATTAATGATCTGTGATCTCTCGTTCTTCAGATCGCTCGGACTTTGGACAATGGAGCAAACCTCCGATAGGTAGAGATGAACATATACGCGGAGTTCTGAGCAAATTCGAGCTCGCTGAGTACGATTTCAATATCGACGACGGAGACATCCATGGATGGCGGAGATTAAAAACGTTGTAATCCGATCTGAAGCGGAGACTGATGCCTTTCCGAGCCGAACGACTCCGTTGCCACCCCATTGAGGTTCGGCATTCTGGATGCCTCAAATTCGCCATTCTCGGCTGAATACTCATGGAGCATTTCAGTACATGAAATGATTTCGATTCTTGGAGGGCCCATTGTACTATCGATATCCGCCGCAATCTCTCGAAGAAGTCTCCGGTGGCATTGCCCCACTGACGAACAGTATCCGGAAGGTACATATCTGATATATGTATTATGGAACACTATCTGATATAGTGGTGATTTGCTCCAATCGGCCTAATGAAAAACGAGGAGCCATAGGTCAGGGCCTGTTCTCTCCATGACGAGATTCCCCCGGAGTCAGCATCTATGGACGCGGGAGTTCGAGTCGCCTTACCGGACGCTTGTGCAAAGCCGGGTGAAATCGGGTGAACCCCACGCGGGGAGCTCGGAAACCTAGATGGAAACGCTGAAGGCATGGTGTATGCGCACCATAGCGGGAGCTCTTTCCATCGGAATCACTTTCGTCGCGGTCGCCTGACTATCGAATGTCTCTCTTAGACTTCAGGAAGCTCGTCGCGCTGGACGGACCGCCGAAAGAGGAGAGGCTCAGCCGAATTCCACCCTCCTCCACCTCGACTTTTGATTAATTGACAACGGCAGTATTAATTAAACAGCCCAGCAAAAATATCGTATGCGACGAGTCGAAGAGGAGCCAATGTATGGATTTCGGGCGAACAAGTCGGCGATTGTCGATTTTGGAGTTTCGTTTGTTTCACCCCAGGTACCTAGTTCCGCTTTCGATGGGGAGCCCTGGAGGAGACATCGTCCTATACGTCCGGCTCGAATCCGAGCCTCTTCCTTACGCGCACGGCGCTCTTCCCTGAGTTTCCCCCGTCCAGATTTTTCCCAGCGGGATCCGAGATATACCGAGACATTCGAGCTCGATATGGAACAATCCGAGTGATTCAATTTACGGGAGCTCGGGTCCGATCGAGAGGCTTCGGTCGTGACGAGGAAATCCTCACTTACTCATGCCGAAGCTGCTGAGTACCGGATAGGTACTCGAAATTAACCAGGTATGCTACCGAAAGACTTCACTAGAAACAAACGCTCACGCACGAGGCTTGAGGCTTGCTTCTGCGGCGCGGTAAGGGCTAAATCGTCGCTGCTTAACGCCTCAGTTTCGCCAGCCTAGAATGATATACCGCATTTTTAGACCTCGTCCTCATCCTTCGCCGATGTCGTTTCCTCCCGCGTTGAAAGGACGATCCGGATCGACCTCGGCAGCGGGCCTGCCGAGCTGTCGTCTTCCGTCCCCGCTTACTATTCCTCGCGCGTTCCATCTTCTCCACTGGCGGATAGCACAGAAACTCCGGTCGACCGAAAACATCTCTGTTTATGCTCACAAGATCTAATGCTTACCTCCGCGGAACTCTCTCCTGATGTAGGGCACGCAGATCCGCGACCATCCTCTCTTACTCCATCGAATACGACCGCAGTCATCAACTCGAATGTTCGACACTTGCTTCGACTGGATTCGCTTCGGAAGTGCGGGAATGGTGATACAAAAATCAGCAGCCAATTATTGGCCAGGGAGCATTTCTTCCCGATAAGCCTGTTAGAGAGAGAGGTAAGTAATGAATTCAGACGGGGGCGTGTTTCAAACAGGCTGATCTGACATCATGAAGAGCCGAGCCTGTTTCAGGTCGGTGCATCCATAAAACTCATTCCAGCGCTGCAGCCAATATGCGGCACCATAGAGTCGACAAACAACATACATACATATATGGCTCTAGCAATGTTCCCCAAAGCGTTGGAGGCCATAAACGACGACGCTTTCAATACGACAACAATACGGCTCGCCAGGATTAGGATTTGCGCCCTATCACTCGTTCGTTCGATCAGCGCTTGCTGCGTGTCCCGCTTTTTTCGCCTGTCCGCCGCGGGGAGCTGATTTCGCGTCTCTGTTTAAGGCTCGCTTGCTCTAGGCGGAATGGACGACGTTTGTCTCTCGCTTTCGTCATCTTTCTGCGAGGTGGATCAAGATATATGTTTTGTGCCGGATTATCAGCCTGAGCACGAGTTCCTGCGGGGAAAACCTCAGGCAAGCTTCGGGACCCTTGTCCGCTCGATTTGGGAACCCCCACGGACTCGAGAACGGTCGCATGCGAATCCCTCGGGCAGTTGGAGGGTCTTACTCAAGATGGGCTCGTAGGACGACGCAGGACAGGAGAGGGGCCGTAGTTCCTAATAGATGAGCTAGACAAGCGAGTAGACTTGAGCGGACTGAATTCTCCGATACGAGTCACCGAATATCCGATCCCGACAAAAAATTAGCTCTATAATTGAGTCAACGCTCATTCGTCTCCACTACGGCGGAAGAGAGGGTCCCTAATGCATAGTCTTCGACCCGCCTTTGGTTCGCGGTCCCCCGCGACAAAGGTCGAGCTCACGTTGTTACATCCGTGATGCCGAGATAAATTAATCAAACCCATCCGTATACCCCATGAGTGATCCAGACGCAGTGGAGCGATGAATAAAATTCAACGAATCTTCAGGCCGGATCCGCGATCGGAAAACCGTAGACCTATCGACTCCGATTTTTAGAAGACTTCGTTAGAGTCGCTCCGCCTTAGGTTAGCAGGGGGGATGCCTCGCTGGCCCTAACGAAGAGTCTCGAAGAAAGTTCGGATTTTTCTCAGGAGCAAAAGTACTCTCACTGAAATGCGATATTCCGAATCCTTCGCTATACATCCATGTATAGCGAGCCATGCTTTCCGTAGTGAAGGGATACCTGTGAAGGGAATTCCACGCCCGGCGATCATCCCTCGCTTATGGAATAAAATGGATCATCGCAGACGCTTTCAACATCTTTGAACCGGCTCTTGGTTGCCAGCGTGCACGTCGAAACGTTCAAGCGAGTTCTCATGTCCAACGTCAGAGATGACAGACATTTGAGATTTCTATTAAGCCGGGGACTCGAACGTCTCGACGCAGAGGAGAGCAAAATGTGTTTTGTCACGTAGTCGGATCCCGGATCGACCTGGATTGGCCCACGGGCATTCCGTGTGAGATTCCAAGGTGAGAACATTGATCTTCCTCTGCCTCCATCAGCAAGCCTGACAATAGCTATGACGGCTGGAAATCTGGGGGCCGGGTTTCGGACTTCCTATGAATGACAGGATTCCGCAGCGGAGCGCGTTCTCTTTCTTCTCTAGGACTACCAAGAACATGCCCAAAGACTCGGAATAGATGAAAAACATGAGAAACATGATTCCGAAGGAAATAAGCGGAGAGGTCGAAGAAATATATTCCTCTCGGGATCAACGATATATGATCATAATTCTGATACTATATATAATAGGTATCATTATTGTTTACATTATAATCTAAAATATTCCAAGTAAAAATGAGTACCTAGTATGATGAAAAAAAAAATAGCTCAGGATCTGTCCGCTGAGGTGAATTCGGGTGATGCATAAGCTCAGATATACTTCGGCGTACAACTACGACGACTGTCGAAGAACAGTCAAAGCTGAAGAAAAGGTCGCCTGTCGCGCTGGACTTGGGTTTCGATCGCGGGGGCCTGATCACCGGAGGAGACGCCTTCATCTCGCAATAACAATTTCTTATCATAATTTATTTCATTCACCCCTGTCCTCAATCGAAGCAACAACGTCTGTTGCTTGTCAGCCTCTCTCGCAGCTCATAGTCATGGAGGTCCCGAAAGCGGAGTCGGCGCGGACATCACTCCGCGTAGTCGATCGTTTATTGTCCACGTCGGCGACGATTCGGCATTCGACGTATTCACCAATTGCTGGACGTTTTTCCATTGCGACAGGGCAGTTACATCGGCGTGAAACGCGGACGACGTCAGCCGCGTTCATGAGTAGCCGTTCACACCCCCGGAATTCTGAGCTCCTATTGGCTGTCGGCAGCTGACGTCACGTAAGGCGGGGCTCCGCTTTTCCTGAAGAAGGACCGCGGGAGGCTCGCAGGACCATTCGATTTCTGCTAACCGCGACTCCAGCCGCGATCCCAGCACCAGAAGCAACCGAGAATCCAGAGCAGCAACCTCAGGGCAATCCGAGCCTCGGACGGCGCAATCTCCACACGTGAGTGATGCACATTTTCCATGGTCCTTGTGACCTTCTGGGACTTCCGCGCCGCGAAAGCTCCCGGCTAGCCAGAGTTGCGTTCTCATTCTGCAGGAAGCGTCGAAATCCTGGCCCACGTGTTGAACGCCATTTGGTTAGTGAAATATGTACATAGGTATAAGGAACGAACCGATAAGCTCCGAGCAAGAGACTACTGCAGCCATTGAGTGAGTCAAGCAGGGTTTTTACCACGCCAATGAGTGACCTTGTGTGATATTCGAGGTTTTTTGGGTCAATCGTTTGTCGAGAGACGCTTTCGTACCCCGGCCAATAGCTCAAGGAGAGAGCGGAGTTCTTCATGACCTCTTGAGAGCTCCATATGACCCTTCGGGCTGTTTGGGTGCCATCCGAACAGTGGATCCCGTAGACAACTAGAATACTGATAGTCGTTCTATAACCGGACTCAGTTCTACCCCACGAGTGGCAGCGTAGCGGGAGTCGGTGCTCCCCGAACAGCCAAGGCTCGAAGGCATCCCCAAGCAATTATTCGCGAGCGTTCTGATGCCTAGGTCAACAGCAAAGGTGTCTAATCAAGAGGCGATTCATAGGCTGGACCGGGCTAGCTTTTTGGCGTCATGATGTCCTCACCTCCGATCAGCATTCAATGTCTCCCCGTCCTGTGCCTTACGTCCTGCTTCGACCCGCTAATTTCAATTACCCATTCAAACCGAGGATCCAGATCATTGATCATAGTGAAATCGACTCAATACGAATCTTACTTACTGTCATTAAAATCGGTTGCATCGAGCGTCAATCGAGGCACGGCTGGAATCATTCACAGCCCCCTCCCTCTCGCAGCCACGAATAGACGGTCGAAATTGTATCGTCACTGAAATTCGATTTTGCGTGGTTTCACACGCCCTAATCGAGGGAAGAGAACGGGAGAACAGGCTCGACTTGCACTCGCGAGAAAATTTGCTGAATGTGAGCATAACGAACCGAGGCAGACTCTCCGGTAAGAGCGAGGGGCACGCTCGACGACTGGCTCATAAACGAACCTGCGAGGTTATCGAGCCCTGGAATAAGAGAGCCCTCGCTGGATTTGACGACCGACAATTGCGATGATGCTCTCGATTTGCCGACCATCTCATTAATCGCTTTCAAGATCGCTGCCGGTGTTATGCACCACTGGGGAGATTGTGGCTCTTCAACTCCGGAATCCCCATCGCTTCTTTCGTGGGAATTCGAACACTCTAATCGGGAGATCCGACCCGAAAAAGTAGCTCATCATTTTGTTATAGGCCGCGTTCAGATCGATAGTATGCCTCGGTTCTGTGGCAATATTCGATCAGATTGTAATGGGAAACCTCCCTTTAATCAATCATGAGTTTGACTGTGTCTCTTCGGTGGCGGGCCGGCCTGCGGGCAAGCTGCACTGTGAGCATGGGGAGCGTGATTTGTTCCAGAGGGCAGAGGATAGGCAAGAATATCATGGATATGACATCGGGGTGCTCCTATCGCTGATTATTCTCCACAGCACTCATTCCTGCCGCTCCTCATTGAATGTCGAATCGCTCACTGTCTGAGCGGTCTTAATACGTTGAATGAGTTAGGCGACGGCCTCAAGAGCATTCCATATAATTGGGCAAGATCGATCGCGCCGGAATGATCCCATGAGCAGCAAGATGGGCCGAGAAATTTCATGCAACCGCGTCTCGAGGAGTCTGCGGAGCCCCGCATGGGGCGTAACGAGGGTCGCCGCTACCTCCTTAGCAGAAATATCTTATGACCGAGTCGAACCCGAGAAGAGGAACGAAATCTGCTCCTTGAATCCGAGATACGGGAGTCGAAATCAGTATGATCTTCTCATACTCGGCAGACATCGGCGACGTTTATTGGATGTAATCCACCGGAACGCTCCTCGCGGGGTTAAGACTCGTTTCGACAGCCGTCCCGCCTCGCTAGAGGAAAGGAGTTGGAACGCCTATCTTGGAAATTGATCCCGTCATAGAGCTACATTGCGCGACAACAGAGAGGAAAACGCGGATGCGTCCAGTTTAGCGCTGGATTCCGTTAGAAACAACGAAAACTCTCCCGTGACTTCCCGTTCCGTCGCAAGGTCCTGAACAGTCACAAAGCTTGACACAAGAATGGAACGGGGATGGAGGGATTAATTGAGACCTATGAGGCCACAATCTGCTAATGAAAGCAACTTTCGAAAGCCAAAGACAACCTCGGATCGACCCTTCTACCCACCGGACATGAATACCGAGACTCATAGTCGTCGATGGGCGACGCGACGGGTCGACCTCAGGGCGGGAAGTTGGATAACTCGCAGCAGCAGCGGCACGATCCGCTCGCTCATGATGATTCTGAAGTAAGTGCGAGAGACGCTCGCGGAGACGGAAGAATTGCTCTCGAGGGTGATATCGAAACGATCTGAGGCATTCTGATGAGGTTAGACAAGTATGCCAAACGGCCCCGTTCCGCTTCTCCGAAAAGCAGACGGCTCGTTTCGAGCTGTTTGTTGATGATGGAATTTTTATATGAGTCTCCCGACTCCGAGATGTCTCTAACATCCACTCGCTCGAGCTCGCGGAAAGGCGGCGCCATTGAAGGATTTCACCATTTATTCGTGGGACATTTCCTCATGCTGATGTTCCCGATCGGGGAATTATGGCGCATGCTTTCCGAATCTTTTCGGTCGCTGACTATCCTCGCGCCGGATGCGATCTATGGGAGGGCGATCGCCCAGCCGTCCAGATGATTCGATCCGAACGAAATTATTCACGATTTTCATGCAATTCAAACGTGAAACGTCGATCGGTTCGTCCTCTGAGTTCACAATGTTGCTCTTCGAGGGCGTTGGAATCCGAAAAATTGCGTCGCAGGCTACATACGTTCAGAGAATTGGATCAGAAACCGCCTCGGGCTCTAGCAGTGGATCCGAAATCTGTTCACAGCGTTGATCCTCACACCACGGGGCCCAGTCTCGGAGCGCAGAACGGTGCTTCTTAAACTTTCGATTTCCCGATCGAAGTCCGCCGTGGAATTTTCCTCGAGTTTCTGAAAAGCAGATTAACTCCTGAATTCGACTGTCTGAACCGAGGCGGTCTTTTCTTTTCGTACTAATCAAGTTGTATTTTCTCACTCCGAATCGGTTGACAGAGTCCGCCGTGTGCAGACTACGTGCTTAGAGCTGGTCTGCGCCGCACTCGAGATAATGAAATTACGCTAAACTCTATTATGACCGGATAAGCCACCTCGCGACTGAAGAGTGGAACGGGGTATGAATTATACATATCAGAAAATCGATCTCGGCTCGATGAATTCGCTAGAGCACCTCGATGGGGCAATCGGATTCGTCTCAGGGAATCATCCCATCATTTGCAGAATGGCAAAGCCCACGGGGGTCCGCCTCTTGAGGATGACCTCCCCTCCCAGACGAATGATCACTGGGATCTGACGGAGGCGTCAATTCCAGGTCCTCAAGTAAACAGTATCGGCTTCAGGCAAAGTGTTTGGAGAATTGGTCTTGTTCAGCAGGAGTTGTCCTCTGTTCTCTCGAACGGTTTCCATCGCCAGACTCTGAGAGCTTGGCTCTCGGCCTCACAGAGAGGAGGGCGGTGTTTAGTTCGGTGAAACGTAGTGACAGTCGAATTTAGGCAAAGCGCATCAGCTTAACTCACTCAGTGCTAACTCACTTGAAGGGGGAGGGGCGGTTCCGTTGCGGTGGCCGACCTTCCCGGAGAACTTGAGGAGACCTCTGAACACTCGATGGCTCGTTTCTGCTGGTTAGATGCTGATTTCGAGGATGCATGGGGACGAATGATTAATACAAACGCCAACCGGAAGCGGTTTCTCTGATATAGTCAACAAGGACAAGTTTTTGCTTCTCGGGTGGGAAGAGCTTCCCCACTCAGTCAGAAACACTCCAGCTGGAATACATGTTGATCCTATAGTTGTTTGGCGGAGTCGCTGGTCCTCGACACGGACCGTCTGAAATTGAGCTGGTCCCGACAATGGCTTCCGTACAAATTTCTCTATGAACGCTAAGGAGATGGTATTCCCCATGCGATTCTTCCTGAGTATAATGAAATGGCAGCTATTCTGACTTCTTTGACGAATCGCATCCAATATCATCCGGGAAAAACAATCTAGGACACTTTTCGTAGCATGAGGAGCCTTGTGGAGTCGAGATGTACATAGTTTCTGATATGATGGGTCCCGCGTGCGATTGAAGTCGCTCTACTCGGTCAGTTTGACTTCCCGTGCATCGGTGAAAATATTCGGGAATATTCCCGCGGGAAGTCCTCCGAACAGGAGCTGACGCACGCGAAGCAATCATGGGATGGAATTCCCGAGCGCGTTCATTCGATTCTCCGCACGTTGACGGACTCTAAGTCGCATCGAAGAGATTTGTCAGGAGATTGTAAAGCGAATACTCTCTTTGGAAAAAAAGTTCGCCGGTAGCTCCGCTCGTCGTTCTCGAAGTGTTCTCCGTGAGTTTCAAAACGGAGTCCGGACCGGAATTGTTTGTGTTCTCGCGGATGAGACAACGGGCGACGTTCACATTCAAATAAGTCTCACAAGTAGCTGGATTTCTGCTCCGTTGGACCGATGAGGGCTGACGTAGATGACGATCCCGATGCATCCGCGATTGTCTTTCCGAGAACAAAAGAGAAACAAAAAGAGATCCCTTGTCTATGCGGCGGCTCAATAGATTCCTTCTATGGGAGACGCTCCCAGGATGACTGATTCGTAAGGAGAACCATAATTGATTTGTCGGAATCTCTCCGGTCTCGCTCCGGCGTTCTGGTTCCTTTTGCCTCACTCACCCACTTGTTCGGCTCTGGAAAGCGATGAACGTCGGCTCGATGTTCCGCCTGAAACAACGACGGAGTTCCCGTTTCCCGAAGACTGCCTCGTCCGCTATTTGACTTCCCCATATCTGATTGCGATTTTCAAGAGTCGAGGAATAATGGATCAAAGGAATGGCGGCCTTCTTTCGTCATCTC